AAACCACGGGCCTCCATTTCAGAACCATCGAAATTGAAGCCGCCCCCGATGATGCACGGCCAGCCGTGCTCGCGCGCCCTCCTGGCAACCGCCTTCAAAATGTCGCAGTTGGCTAGGCTCATCCCGACCCTGCTCCGCAGTCAGACGCACATCACCGCGGCGCCCCCCGGCACCCGCGCAGCGCGATGAAGCGCGCGGGCGCGATGACCGGGACAGAGGACAGGGCCAGCGGGGCCAAGCATGGGCGCCGCGCCAAGCCGCGCTCCATCTTCGACAGCGCGACGGGCCCGCCCGTGGCCAAGCCCCCCGCCTCGAAGGGAACAGCCGCCGCCCCCGCAGTTAACGCCCCCCGTCCACGTAGATGCGCCTCTGCGTCCAAGACACGCCCGAGATGCGCTTCCTGCAGCATGACCAAGTCAACCTCGGTGATCGGCTCAACCAGGCACATGTCGAGGTGGCTGCGCGCATTCACGTTGAGGATGCAGGCCGACCAGCACCTGGCCATCGCTCGGACGTCCATGTCCTGTGTGTTTCCGGTTTCGTGCGTGTTTTTTCGCCAATTGGTCGAGGATGCTCCTCGAAGGTCCCCGCCGAGGAAAAAATGAATGGACGCGTCCGAGCGATGACAAGGCACTGGCGACCCAAAACGCGTTTATGGGTATAACAAAAGCAAATCCTGCTGTGACAGCATGTACTCACGCAGACCGACAAGTCACCATGGCACAGGACTCGGCGCTCGATATGACCGCCCGCGCACCGATGCCGACGCCGATGTCTTCCACATCTTCGTCATCGTCGCCAGCAGGCTGATCCTCGCCAGGGATGGGCTCCTTTTGGCGCTGGTCGGCCAACGGCGTAGATGCTGCCGCCGTCGAAGCACGCGGCTGCGCCGCAATGACGGACCTGAAGTGAGACTCGGGCGGACCTGCGGCAACGCCCAATTCAAGACCTTCCAGTTTGTCCGCCACCGTTTGCGCCAGGTCGCGATGCTGCTGGAGCAGTTGACCAAAACTGGGGAATGGAGGATCCACCGCAGCCGCCACCTGCTTGGACATGTCCTCCTCAACCCTGGACACAGCAACCTGCAGCTCCTCGTCCATATTATCGCCATGCTGTTTCTGATGAAACGCAAACGAACCATTCATTCTGCTGGCGCTCCGCCTTCGCCTTCCTTGCCGGGCCTGCACGACGCCTCGTCTGCCTCGAGCTGCGCCGACTTGACTGGCTCCACCGTGGACCCAGGTCCATTTGACCCAGAGGCTGGCATGCTTGAGCTGCTGTCTCTCCGCTCCTGACAGCCTTCTGGCGAACGTGTCGAAGGGCTGGTCGTCAAGCTGCATGCGTTCCTGCCGTTCATTAGCTGCGTGCGGTGCAGATCCTTGGTGCCCTTGATCTTGAGCGTTGCTTCCACGCCCTGGGGACTGCCACCGCCACCTCCTTGGCCCTGACGCCCCGCGCTGCCGCGCGGCGCCGCAACCCGGGTAGTCCATGGGGCCCGAGTCCAGGGGGGGCGCTTCTGGGGGGTCCACTGTGCCAGCGCTTGCGAACAGGAGCAGGAGGTGAACCACCAGGGCCATACGCAGTAGGACGGTAGGCACCGCAGTCCGCCTGCTTGTATTTCGCCCGCCATTCGAAGTTATTGTAGTTGCACGAGGGGCAAGCCCAGCTGCCAGCCGACGCCACGCCTGAGCCAGAACCGCCGCCGCCGACGCGACCCTGGTGAGACATGATGCGCAGCGACCCGTGGAGAGTTCACAAAACTGGGGCTAGCTTGGCCTCGAAGCGCGACCGCCCTATCGATCAGAACGCGCCCCGACCGGAGACCCGCGATCGTCGGGTTGGGTCTTGGCCTTGAGCCATATGGCAACGGAAAAGGAGGCGGAGGGGGAGGAGGGGAGGCGGGGGGGGGAAGGGGAGGAGGAGGAGGAGGAGGAGGAGGAAAAAGGAGGAGGAAGGGCAGGAGTAGGAGGGAAACGTCCGTACCCATTGTAGCCCCACTGTTCCCCCCCCTCGTGGGGGGGGGGGGGGGCGAGACGCTGCGGGGAGGAACCCCGCGAGCGCGCACCCTTGCCCGAGGGTTGGCCCCGAGCCCACGCGGGGGGGCTGCCCTCCGAGCCCCTCGCCTCTTCGGCGCCTGGGCCATCGAGACGAGCCCGGCACTCCTGGGATAGATTACGTAGACAGAACAACGCGGAGGTCCGCGCGGAATTGTCGGATCCACGCTGGGCCCCCCTGGCGCGCCCCCCTCGCGCCAGGCAGGGGGGGGGGGGCCCAGCGCCGATCCGAGAAACCCGCGCGGACCTCAAAGCTTTTTCAATGTTATGTCCATCTGCGCTGTGCCCCTAGAGCGCCCCTGCGCAAAGCGCACTCGTTAGAAGGCACCCCGAGGCTGACCGCGCCGAGAGCCGACGAAGACGTTCAGATAGACATCGAACATCGGGCTCGACCCTGGCCCGAACCGTGGCGGCCCCAGGGCAGCCCGCGTGGCCGCCGAGCTGGCCGCCGCGGGCCCTCGCTTGCCGCGAGGTCGGCGACCCGGCGGGCAGCCGCAGCAAGGGGAACCGTAGCCAGGGCGTGCTGCGTCGCTGCCAGTCCTTCGTCGCCCACCTGGGCCGCGGCGTCCCCAAACGCCTCCTGCAGCGCGGCCGCGGGCCGTGCGTGCCATCCCGGGGAAACGCACAACTGGAAGAAACACGATCGGGAGCAGCACGGCGACGGCGCCCGCAAGAGTGTTCACGCGAGGGGGCACTTTTGCTTGCCGAAACAGGGCAACGAATGCGGGCCAGAAGCAGGGAAACTAATGCGTGCTGCTGGCAAGGGTCGGGAGCAGCACGACGGGATCAAGCACGGCTGGGAGCAGGACGTCTGGGAGCAGACCGTCTTGAAGCAGAAGCTGGCGAATAACATGGGCTCACCTGCGCAAGCACCTGCGAGCGGATCGTCGCCCAGGTGACGCAGCAGCAGGGTCAGACCTCGAGCCGAAGGTACACTGCAGAGCGCCACGTGCCGCCGCAAGGAATTCGGGACACCCGTGGGGCCGCGGTGCTCCCTGCCGAGGCGGAGCAGAGCGCCACCAACGACGGGCTGACCACGGAAAACCAGCGCAGGCAAAACAGCCACGCCATCGAGGCGGAGGTGCGAGCCGCGCGCAAAACGACCCAGGCGAGGATGAGGACACCCACAGCGAGGATTGCGACCACGTACAAAGAGGAGGATGAGGAGTGCGGCGACGACTGTGAATACGACGACGGCATACACGAGACGAGTGACACCGCGGACGAGTTCGAGGACACAACCGGTACCGCCCAGAAAAAAGACGAACACGATGAGGACAGCGATTCCCACGCGGACGCCAGCCTCTCCGAGGAGGCAGACAAGCTCTACCAGGAGACCCACGACGCCGTTCGGGAGAGCAGACAGATAGCACCGCCAAGACCACGGCCGTGACATGTCTTCTAGGAGGACCTTGAGGAAGAGTCCGAAGACACCACGAACAAGACGAAAACGACCCGGCGAAAGACGAAAGACGACTAGAGGTGGACCACCCTATTGGGGCGGTGGTGGGGGCCAGCGGACCAGCGTAGGGCCGCTAGAGACATGGCGCCGTTCGGCGCTCCTGCGGCTCCTGGGGGCCCCCTTGCCCCCCTTCGTCTCGAGAGCCCGTCGTCCTCTCCTTGTGTCGGGTGTTGCCAGACATGCATCTGGCCCAAGGTACCCCCAGGACCCTCGGGGTGGCCCAGATGGCCTCTCCAGAGCACCCCTCGCGAGGCCCAGAGCAAGAGGGCCCCAGGGGCTCCAAAATGGAGCGGGAAACTGGAGGCACCTTGGGCCCAGGGGCACCTCTAGCAACAACCGATTGTGGGGCGGGGGCTTTCGCAGGGGTCCCGAGGGTTTCTTCAAGGGACGCGGGGTGGGGGGGGGCCTTCGCGCGTCGCGCCGCGAGTCGGGCGCGGCGCGGCGCGGGCTGCGCGGGAAAGACCGCATCGCCCGCACTGCGTGGGAGGAGTGCCATGAGTGTCGTAGATCCAAGAAGTGAGCGGCGAGCGAGGCTCAACCGTCACCCTCGGCCTCCAGACAGGAGGAAGGGGCCCGCAGGCGCCAGCACCGACGGTCAGGGGAAAGGCAGATACCTCGTCGCTCAGCGACTCGCTGCCCAACCGAGACGGCGTGGTGCGTAAGGGGGACAGCCGGTTCACCGCGTCACCGCGCAGTACTTCCCGACAGTCACCCCTGTCGAATCGGATGACATGTGCAACTGGGTTTGTACCCCAGGGTGGGCGGACACAAGGTCCCAAGGGACTTACGGACCACATGGCCCCGACTCTCAACCAAATGCACACTCCCCGTGCCTGGTACCCATCTCCAGGTCACGGGCGCAGCTAACGCGCCGCTGCCACGGGCAAACCGCCACGTGGCTGGTGCAAGAACGACGATCGCCGGTCTATCTGCCCCCAGCCGCCGCATGCAATTGACACTGACAGTGTGCCCCGAGGAGCGTGTGGCGCTGACACCATGAGAATAGGTGCCAGGCCCCCACCCTCAGGGAGGCCCTGCGTAGGAGGAGGAGGAGGCGGAGGAGGAGGAGGAGAAGGACGAGGAGGAGGAGGAGGAGGAGGAGGAGGAGTATGAGCAGGAGGCAGGGGGGAGAGGATTGAGTACTCCGCAGGCCACCCGTCGCCACAGCACAAACCGAGGCCCGTGCCGCGACGAAGGGGAGGCGGGAGAAGAATGGAGGTTAGGAGAGAGGCCGGAGGAGGAGGAGGAGGAGGAGGAGGAGGAGGAGGAGGAAGAGGAGCGGGAGGAGGAGGAGGGGGAGGAGGTGGAGGAGGAGGAGGGGGAGGAGGAGGAGGAGGAGGAGGAAGAGGGGGAGGAGGAGGGGGAGGAGGAGGAGGAGGAGGAGGAGGAGAAGGAGGAGGAGGAGGAGGAGGAGGAGGGGGAGGAGGAGGAGGAGGAGGAGGAGGAGGAGGAGGAGGTCCCCGGAGCTGGCAGGGCGCGGCGGCCTTGAGCAGCGCCAGCGCGCGCTGCGCGTGCGCGAGCGCCTGCGCGCGCGGGGGCCGCCAGGGAACGCCTCCCCGCCTAACCCCGCCCGATTCCCCGCAGAGGCCCACGCGTCGGCGTCGGCGTCGCCAGGCCGTCGCCAGAGCGTCGTCCACGTCGGCGGCCGCACCCTGGCCGGGCCCGAGGGCGCCTCGGTGTGCTTGCCCATCTGGGAGAGCAGGGCGCAGAGGTTGAGGTGCGTGCCTGCCGGGTCCGGGGCAGCAGCCGGGGCCGCCCGCGGGAGGGCCGGGGGCCGAGCTTGCTCCCCCCCCTACCGTTCCTCCCTCCTCCTCCCCCTCCTCTGCTTCTTCTTATTATTCGTCGTTTCCATACTGTTATTCCTCCTCGTTGTTTTCTTCCTCTTGTACATATTACGATCACCAGCATTCGTATTAGCATTCTTACGTTTATGACCATTATTCGTCGCTGTAATTGTCTTCTTCTTATTGTTTGTCCTCCTCATCCTCCTGCTGCTCCTGCTCCTCCTCCTCCACCTCCTCCCTCTCCTCCCCCTCCTCCCCCTCCTTCTCTTCCTCCTCCTCCTCCTCCTCCTTCTCCTCCTCCGTCTGCTCCTCCTCCTTCTCCTCGTCCTCCTCCTCCTCCTTCTCCGCCGCCTCCGCCTCCGCCTCCGCCTCCGACTCCGCCTTCGCCTCCGCCTCCGCCTCCGCCTACGCCTCCTCCTCCTCCTTCTCCTCCGCCTCCGACCCCCGCCTCCGCCTCCGCCTCCGCCGCCGCCGCCTACTCTTCCTCCTCCTCCTCTTCCTCCCTCTCCTCCTCCTGCTCCTCCTGCTCCGCCTCCTCCTCCTTTCCTGCTCCTCCTCCATCTCTTCCTCCTCCTGACCCTCCTGCTCCTCCTCCTCCCCCTCCTCCTCCTCCTCCTCCTCCTCCTGCTCCTCCGCCTCCGCCTTCGCCTCCGCCTCAGCCTCCGCCTGCACCTCCGCCTCCGCCTCCGCCTCTGCCTCCGCCTCCGCCTCCGCCTCCGCCTCCTCCTCATCCTCCTCCTCCACGTCCTCCTCCTCCTCATCATCCTTCTCCTCCGACTTCTCCTCCTCCTCCTCCTCTCCGTCCACCTCCTCCTCCTCCTCCTCCTCCTCCTCATTCACCCCCTCCTCCTCCTTCTGCTCACCCTCCTCCTGCTTCCCCTGCTCTTCCTCCTCCTCCTCCTCCTCGTCCTCTTCCTCTTCTGAAAGCGAGAAGAAACGGGGGGAACGTCAGGGGTGAGACCGGCTCTGGGGTTGTGGTGGTGGGGGGGGTTATGTCAACATCGCCCTAGAGAGACGGCGACATGTCGAAGGTAGATCGGCGATGGACCCCCGACACCGAATCCGCACGCTCCTGGGCGGAATGGGCTATCGGACACCTATCGGCTGAGGGGCAACGATGGGAGGGGACAAGTCGACCTGGAATCGGCGATACATCGCCGATAAATCGGCGATAAGCCCACGATAGTGAATCCGCCCGTTCCTGGGCAGGCTTGGGCTATTGCGCTCCTATCGGCGATCCAGGGGCGATGGCCGGTCGATGCCTACCCCCTGAACCCATCGTCCCCGCAGGGTTCTCACTGAGAGGAAAAACTGCAACACGCACAGGAATCACAAGCTTTCAGAGCTCCGAAGGTCTATGCTCATTCCGGGTTGGCGGGAGGTCGCAGAGCTCCCCCCGCCGCCTCTGCGATGCACCCAAGACGGGGCGACCAAATCCATACATATATCCGCTGCCCCAGGCCTGGCCCGTCCTGGGCCCAGGAGCGGTATATACGCCCCCCTGCCTTGGCCAGGAAGGCATTTATACATATATTTGTATAGAAGACGATAGGCATGAACATAAACTATTGGCGCTCCGCGCGGACCTCTCGAGTCTGCGCGCGATTCTCCTGGATCTGTGCCGGAGGCGCCGCCCGGGAGAGCCCAGCGCGGATCCGAGAAATCCGCGCGGAGCGCCAAACAATTTGTCTATGCCGTTGTTTCTTCTTCGGATATACGCCGCTCCTGCCTTGGTCCTGGGGCTCCTGGGCCAGGTATGGGACAGGCTTCGCGCAGTGTGTTTCGCCTGGCGTCGGTCTTCGGATCATACATCGGGCCTCAGGCGGCCGTTTGGGACGATCTGGGCACTCAGGGAACGCTCTCGGCGAGGCGCAGGTGCTGGAGAGCGTCCCCGAGCCTGGACACCGCCGAGCACCCACGACCGCTGCCGAACCGGCGAACGCCGACGAAGATCCCCCCTCTGCCCGAGGCCGAGCCGTGGTCGTATGTGAGGCTGTCGTCGTTCTCGCCATCGTCGCTGGGGTTTAACGGGCGAATAGCGGTATAAAATTACCCCGGCAAAGCAACCTAACAGCGATGTGTAGAAGCATATCTGAAAGCATTCCCCTTAAGATTCAGATGAAAATCCAGTTGTAGAATTCTGCTGTTCTCGCAGTCGTAGTCGCATTCGCGATGACAGTCGCAGCGGCAACGGCAGTCGCAGTCACAGCCTCAGCCTCAGCCTGCCTCAGCCTCAGCCTCAGCCTGCCTCAGCCTCAGCCTGCCTCAGCCTCAGCCTCAGCCTGCTTCAGCCTCAGCCTCAGTCTGCCTTCAGCCTCGGCCTCAGCCTCAGCCTGCCTCAGCCTCAGCCTGCCTCAGCCTCAGCCTCAGCCTCAGCCTGCCTCAGCATCAGCCTGCCTCAGCCTCAGCCTCAGCCTGCCTCAGCCTCAGCCTCAGTCTGCTTCAGCCTCAGCCTCAGTCTGCCTTCAGCCTCGGCCTCAGCCTCAGCCTGCCTCAGCCCCAGCCTGCCTCGACCGCAGCATCAGCCTGCCTCAGCATTCAAAATGTGGCCCAGGGAATGGAGTTCTGGGAACTCGAAGAGCACGAAGTGGCCTACAGTTGGCTCCGGGCATTCAAAATGTGGCCCGGGAATGGAGTTCTGGGAACTCGAAGAGCACGAAGTGGCCTACAGTTGGCTCCGGGCATTCAAAATGTGGCCCGGGAATGGAGTTCTGGGAACTCGAAGAGCACGAAGTGGCCTACAGTTGGCTCCGGGCATTCAAAATGTGGCCCGGGAATGGAGTTCTGGGGACTCGAAGACCACGAAGTGGCCTACAGTTGGCTCCGGGCATTCAAAATGTGGCCCGGGAATGGAGTTCTGGGAAGTCGAAGAGCACGAAGTGGCCTACAGTTGGCTCCGGGCATTCAGAATGTGGCCCGGGAATGGAGTTCTGGGAGGTCGAAGAGCACGAAGTGTGTGACTGTTGGCTTAAAACAACTTCTGCGGCACCCTGTCCGGCACCCGCCCAGACCCCCCTGTGGAGTCATCTGCTGCTCTCTTTTTAGCCCATTAGAAACCTATCAGTCTTCGCTGTTAGGTAATAAACTTTTTCGCCGTCGGGGACACCTGTCCCTGGGCGGGTGGAAAGTTTATACCCCTACGCCGCCACCGTAGGGGTATAAACCTTCCAGCCGTTTTGGGACAGGCGCCCTCGACTAGGGCGAAGAGAACTATGCACATGCACCGTTCCTGGTGAGGCCCACCCTTGACCCAGGATCGGTGCATATGCCTTCCTGGCCAAGGTAGGAGGGCGTATGCACCGATCCTGGGCTCAGGATGGGCCTGGCCAGAATCGGTGTATGTGCATAGTTCTTTTCCCTCTGTCGACAGCGAAAAAAATTATTTTACCGTTTTTCGCCTGGTGAAGGGCTGCTGCCACCGTTCATTTTACCGTTTTTCGCCCGCTAAGGGCTGCTACCGGCCTCGCCGGAGCGGCCCAGAAGGCCCCCCGCCGCGGCGCCCCACGGCGGGCCACGGCCGCTCCTCGCCTCCTCCCCCGCCCGCCCCGCCCCCCCCCTCTTTTTCACGGGCGTGCCCCCATGTGACTACCTACCAAACCACCCCAACCCAACCCGAAGACCCGAATTTGACCCGAATTTCGGGTTGGGGGGGGTACGGATTCCATGTGTTTTTTTCAATGTTCCCTGACCCCCCCCCACTGGAAATCGAGGATAAACTTGGGCCTTCGGGTTGGGTTGGGGTGGTTTGGTGGGTGGTGACCATGACACCGAAAGGAGGGGCCCAGGGAGAAGCAAATCAAGACCGTCGACACGCTGTCACAAGGAGCCCTACATTGAAAGAACGAGGCCGACATTTCTTTCATGTGTTAAGCTTCGATGTTTTCCATCTGACTACCTACAGTCGGGGCCTTGACCAAAGGAACCGTAAATAAGGAACGAGGCCCCTTTTTTCCATAAGTGAACCTTCGATTTGCTATCGAAAACACAAGGAAAACCTGAGGCAAGCTGTGAAACACGTAAGGAACACCGAGCCCCTCCCCAACGAAAAGGGTTCCTTCCTCAGGGCCCCGACTGTACCAGACAACCCCAACCCAACCCAGACCAAGCCAACCATCCCCCCCAACCACAATTTCGAGTTGGGGGGACGGGCATGTTTTTGTTCCATGGTCCCCGACCTCCCCCCCCACACAAGAAATGGATGGCAAATCGGGCCTTCGGGTTGGGTTGTGGTGGTTTGGCACCAAAGGAAAACTTGGGACAAATTGTAAAACAATTCAGGGAGACTGAGCCCCTCCCACACGAACAGGGCTCTTTCTTCAGCGGCCCGACTGCAGGCAAAGGACCGAGGACCCCCAGTACCTGTTCTTACCTCCCCTCTGAAGGGGCCCCAGGACACACAAATAAATACGCACAAATCAAAAGATTCCCCATATGTCCCAATAGTTTCTGGGTTTCTGTCTTCCCCCCCACTTCCCATATTTCCTTATATTTTCTAGGGAATCGAGGGTTAATTGTGTCTGTGTTTTTTTTCCTCTCCTGACCCTCCACGTCCCTTATTTGTCTCCCACATCCTCCGAGAGATCGATGCTTCGTTGTGCCTGCGTCTGCGCTTTTGCCTCCCGAAGCATGGGCTGGGGGGGCCGCGGATCTGGCGAAGCAGACGGGGCAACCGCCGCCTCGGTTGGCGAGCGGGGCGCCTCGATGCTGCCTGGCGACGGTGCCCGCCGCTCACGCGACGAACGGTATAGAATAAACTTTTTCGCTGTCGGGGGCGCCTGTCCCTGGGCGGCTGGAAAGTTTCTACCCTACGGTGCCACCGTAAGGGTATAAACTTTCCAGCCGCCCAGGGACAGGCGCCCCCGACAGCGAAAAAGTTTATTCTATACCGTTCTTCGCCCGTTAACTCACCCTCGCGCCTCAGTCCATCTCTGCGCCTCCTTGCCTTTCCGCCCGAGCCCAGCCAGCGCGGCGTGCGGCCTGGGGATGGAGCCGCGGTGGGCGGCGGGAACCCCCTCGCTCTGAGAAGTGACCAGCGAGGCCTCGGACATCCGATGTCGTGCCTTTTTGGATACATACAAAAACGGGGCCCCCAGACGTATCGACCCATTCCCTAGGACCGGCTCTTTATCCTGAGCCGTGCTTCGATGGCCTGGGGGCCCCGAGGCGGGGCCTCTCAGAGGGCAAAAGCGGCGGAAGCAACCCGTTTCGTTTTTTGTTCAATGCGATGGCTCTCTGGCCGTGGCGCAGGGGGCGCTGCGCCACCACGGCGATGTTCTGGCGGGGCGGCGGGGGGGGAGGGGAGGGGAGACGGGAGGCGGGGGCGGAGGGGGGCAGGGAGGGAGGGATGGAGGGGAAAAGGAAGAGGAAGAGGAAGGAGGGCGGGAGGATGGAGGAGGAGGAGGAGGACGAGGACGAGGAGGAGGACCCCCTCCTCGCTCCTCCGCGAGGGTCCCTGGATCCCCCCGCGCGGCGGGCGCCGGGAGCGGCGGGCGCCGCGGGGCCCGCGCGCCCCGAGACGCAGCCTCGCGACAGCTCGCGGGGGGGTCCGGAGGAGAGGAGCGCCGCCCGCGCCTGCGGGGTTCTGGCACTTGCCGCTGGACCTCGGGGGCGGCGCGACAAGGTATGCTGCTCCCCCTCCTTGCCCTTCCCCCCCTCCTCCTCCTCCTCCTCCTCCTCCTCCTCCACCTCCTCCTCCTCCTCCTCCTCCTCCTGCTTTCCTCCTCCTTTCCTCCTCGTTTCCTCCTCCTTTCCTCCTCCTCCTCCTCCTCCTGCTCCTCCTCCTCCTCCTCATCATCATCATCCGCCTCCTCCGCCTCCTCCTCCTCCTCCTTCTCCTCCGTCTCCTCCTCCTCCTCCTCTCCCCCTCCTTTTCCTTATACATAACTTCTCCCTGTCGCACCCCGCGGTAAGTTTTAGGACGGCCAGGGCGTTTCGCCCGAGACTTCCTCACCATGTATGACTCTGAAGCTTGATAAATGGCAACAGCTTCACAGATGGAGGGCGCGTCGTTTTCAAAATGTGGCTCTCCCTTAAGCGCGGCGCACATGCGTTCTTTGATCATGTGCAAGAGTTACACGGATTGAAAGCCAATCGTTTTCAACATGTCGCTTTCGCCTTGGCGCCGTGTGCATTCGTATTAACAAATGCGAGAGTTTCACGGATTGCGGGCGGTTCCTTTTCAAACTGTGGCTCTCGCCTTTGCGCCGCGTGCATTCGTTTTCAACATGTGCAAGAGTTTCACGGATTGCAATCATCAGCGTACCAGTAATTGTGTTTTTTGAAGGATTCAGGATTACGCAAGTGCAACAGTTTCGTTGATTCGCTGAGTTGAAGTCCCAGGAGTGGCTTTGATTCAGGATCGTCAAGACCAACAGTCAGGTTGATCCGTGGCGTTGGAATCCTCCCGAGAACCATGTTTTGGCATGCTTCATGGTCGTCAACTGGAAAATCCAACAAGGCAGTCCCCTCAATGAAAAAAAAACGCTGCAGGGGCCTATGAAGAGGGAGCTTGGAAGGTGGGTTGATTCCAACATCGTTGATGACAGCATCAGCATCATCATCAGCATCACCATCACCCGCATCAGCACCATCACCACCACCACCACCACCACCACCACCATCATCATCATCATCATCATCATCATCATCATCATCAGCATCATCATGATCATCGTCAGCATCGTCTTTATCATCATCACCAGCAGCATCAGCATCATTATCAACATCAGCAGCAGCATCAGCATTATCAGTAGCACAAGTTGTCTCATCAGCATCAGCATCAGCATCACAATCAGCATCATACTCATCAGCATCATCAGCATCAGCATCACCAGCATCACCAGCATCATGAGTATCATCATCATCATCATCATCATCACCAGCATCATCATCATCCTCATCCTCATCCTCATCCTCATCCTCATCATCATCATCATCATCATCATGTTGAGCATCATCATCATCATCATCATCATCATCAGCATCATCATCATCATCATGATCACCATCATCATCAACACCATCATCATTATCGATGTCATTACCATGCGATAATGATCTATTCCTCCTCCTCATCCTCATCCTTCCTTCTCCTCCTCCTCTTCCTCCTCCCCCTCTTCCTCATCCTGGGAGGTTTTCGTTTGAACGATTCAGCAAGGAGTACTGCCACGTGTTGCCAGGCACCGTGTTGTCGTGTGCTGCACCGCATTGAGGTCAGTATTTCGCCGGATTGCCCGCGGGGAGTGTTGCGCGTTGCATTGCCCTGCGATGCGTTCTCCCGCAGGGGGTACTGACATGGCTCCCGCCGATCTGGTTTGCATTGATTCCCGTCGGGAATGTCATCTGAGCGACAATCAAAAGCGGGTCCTCGAGACGACGCACTGACCTTACGCAGTGGCTTACGCGGGACGCCAGCGCGGCACGCCACAGTGGAGGCGAGGGCGCTTACGCGCGACCTTACGCGAGCAGCTTGCGCGCCAGCGTCGGTGCAGTCGAGCCCGTTTCCCTTTGGGAGGGGACTTAAGCTACGAGGGCCAAAATGAGTAGGGAAGAAAGGGGGCCTTTTTCCCGCAGACGTACCAGACCAAACCACCCAGATGTCGTATCCCCGATGCAAAGACGGGGACCGGAGTGAGGCCACGTCTTCAGATGAAGAAAGCACGGCCTAAACATAAACTTGCAGCACCCCGCGCCGATCTCTCGAATCTGCGCCGGACCCCCCTCCCTGGCGCGCGGAGCGCGCCACAGGCGGCGCCAGAGGCGCCGCCAGCGGGGCCCCCAGCGCGGATCCAAGATACTCCAGATTTCGTAATAAAGGGAGGGGGGGTCTCATTTCGGGGGGGGGTCTCTTCCAGGCTATCTTGGAGGGCCTGGGGTGGTCTGGGGACGATGTTTTGGAGGGTTCTCCCACGGGGGGGGGTCTGAAATGGCTTGTCTTGGAGGGTCCAGACCCCCTCCCTTTTACTACGAAATCTGGGGTATCCGCGCGGAGCGCCGAAGTTTTATGTTCATCGCGTTGATTCCTCTTCGGTGAGTGAGGCCACGCCATGCCCCGCGTGACTCGGGCCAGGGGCCCTCCAGTCCTCGGCGAGCACGGACCCTGGGCGAGGGAGGCCGGTGGAGCACCCTGCGGGCCCTGCTGCAGAGCACGAGCACACCGTAGTCGGATCTACTCCAGATTTCGTAATAAAAGGGAGGGGGTCTGGACCCTCCAAGACAAGCCATTTCAGACCTCCCCCGTGGGAGAACCCTCCAAAACATCGTCCCCAGACCCCCCAGGCCCTCCAAGATAGCCTGGAAGAGACCCCCCCCCGAAATGAGACCCCCTTCCCTTTATTACGAAATCTGGAGTACCCTTCTTCCCTCCGACCTTGCACCGCACCGACCGCAGCGGCCGCGTTGTCCATAGACGCATCCACTCCGAGAGTGTCTCTGCGCGCCGCGGCACCCAATGTGTCCTCGGACGCTTTGGGCCAGGACGTGCGAATTGTGTTTGGCATCGGCACCAGATGTTGGTCTTCTAGAATCGGAGGCGCGCAAACATGGATTAGCGATCCATGGATTTGGCGCGCGTCGCCAAATCCGTGGATCGGGGGGTGCCCTCATCAAAACGCGGCCGGTGCCGCCTCGCTCTGCGGCGGGAAGCCGCGACTTCCCATGGATGGAAGCGGGACCCGTCGCTAATCCACGTACCCTTGATCCATGTTTGCGATCGCCTGATAGAAGCAGGTACAGTAGGGGCCAGTCCACAAGAAACCCTACGCAAGAACCCCCGCCCTGAGACCCCAGGGCGACCATCGACATCTGGTGTAGGAACGTCACGCTTGCCATGGCAAAACCATCGAAACCCAGGGCACGCTGGAGGCATGCAGGGTGATACTTGGCATGGGTCTCCACTGTAGGCTTGGCCCTCCAAGTCGGGGGCGGTCAAGACGGGGGCGTCCAAGAGGGGGGTCATGGCCGGCGGCATGTGAAGGGCTGGCTCGGGGGGGGGGAGGGCAGCGGACGCATTGAGACAAGAGGAAGCGCCAATGAAACCTGGGGAGACCTCGTGGCCCCCGCCACGATGTCCACCCCACCCCCAGTCATCACCCCCCTCTTGGCCGCCCCCGAAGGCAGGTCGGCTTGGCCTTCTGGGGGGGGCCCCCAGCGGGGGCGGCGCCCCCCGCGCGCGGCCTGTCGCGCGTGCGCGCGCCGCACCTTCGCGCGCGCGCGCGGGCGCGCGCGGGTCGGTCGGCCCCGCTGAGGCGGGCGCCTCTCCTCGATCTTCTGCGCCTTTGCGGGAGGGCCGGCGGGGGGCGGCTATTGTGCGGTGGCAGCCCACGGGGGCCTCGAAGGCGGCGGGGCTTGTCAGGAGCCCACTTCGCGCCTGCTGGGAAGGAAGGCTCGGCATCTTCGGGGAAGGCCTGGGACACTTCTCAGAAAGGCCCCGAGGCCTTCCGAGATGTTCCAAGAAGGCCCGCCCCACGCCTCACTCCCCAACTGAGCTCACCGTCGAGGGAAACTTCAGTGGCAACTCATGGGAGCCTCCCAAACCATCCTGTCGGCTCCTGCGAATCGACGCCGAATCGACGCGAATCGACGCTCAATCGACGTTCATCGACGCGAAATCGGCGCCTGTCGTCGGCTAATCGACGCTAAATCAATGCTAGATCGACGCCAGCGACGCCAACGGCAAAACTGCGAGGGTACACATGGCTCCCATGGATCTGCTGCCGAACGACTCGCCATCGCCCACTCGCCATCGCCCGAACGCCCACTCCCCGAGGAGGAGGAGGAGGAGGAGGAGGAGGAGGAGGAGGAGGAGGAGGAGGAGAAGAAGGAGGAGGAGGCGGAGGAGGCGGAGGAGGCGGAGGAGGCGGAGGAGGAGGAGAGGGGGGGTCAGCGAGGAGCTGGAGTCCCCGGACCTGGCGGCGCACGCCAGGGGGACAGAGCCAACCCGTACCGTCAGACCTAGGCCAAAAGAGCATGCCTCAAGAGCATGCGACCCTCCGTCGGCCAAAACAGAGAGAATATCCAAGGGTACCCCTCCGAAAATGCACAAGAACGTCCAGCAAACACGAAGAATACGAGAGCAACCTTCCCGAACCGACCTCGATCTTATGCCTCGATCCGACTTAGTGTGATACGGACGCCTGACAAGGATGCAAGGGCCTTGGCCGTGCCGGCACTTTGCGAGCGGGGCGCGGCCAGCGAAAGCGACCAAGGATAGGCCGAAGGGGAAGGATGAAAGGGCAACCTTGGAAAGTTGCTCATCCTTCCTATGCGGAGCGAAGAGCTGGAGCGCCGAGACTTACTTGGCTTTGGATTGGACACTTCGAGAGCAAGGCTGGGCGATCCAGCAGCGAAGGTTAAACGGGCAGACCCTGCACCGTTCAGCGGCACAGGGCTCCCCACCAACCAACATGCCAGAAAATTCAACCTTCAGAGGGCCGAGGAAAATGAGATCCTGGCATCTCCACTGTTTCAAGCCGGACATTTTCGCTCTCTGTTCGATCCAGTTCGAAAAACTGACGCAGAAAGATAAGGTCTAGAGTCTACGGTTAAGTCGGGCCTGTCCCTCCAAAGGGGGAATCTTCAAAAATAGTCTAAAAATAGTCTGGCGACTATGTTTTGATTATTTGTTTGGACAATTTTGGGATATTGTTGGAGTATTCTTTCATTTTTCGCCACAAATCCCCCTGTAGAGTGACACGCCCGACTTCAGTCTGGGGCTCCGGCCCTGATGTTTTACGATGCTGTATTTCTTTCGCTGCGTCGGATCTCAGGGGAGTTCGCTCGCTGAGACTTGGCGGCGCACACAGGGTACGGGCAGGGGAGGAGGCTTCTTAGAAGGAGGCTGCGTCTTAGAGTTCAGTCGGGCCTGTCCCCCTGCAGGGGTTTTGGGTGAAAAATTGAAAATACTCAGAAAATACTCCCCAAATGCCCAAACATAGTCAAACAAATAGTCCCCAGACTATTTCATGACTATTTGTGAATATTCCCCCTGTAGAAGGGCAGGCCCGACTTAATCTTGGAGGCAAGGCATTGCGGCAAGGCCCGCGCCTTCTGAGAGGCAGCCCCCTTTGAAGAAGCCTTCTCCCCTCCCCCCACCCCATCTGCACGTGGCCGAGAGCTGGGGCGCCGAGGCCCAGATGGCGGGTTGAACAGCACGGGAGATGTCGATCCCAACTACGTTTTCGTGGGGTCTTCGCATGGGCCCAACATGTGGGGCCCAAACTCGGGGATACACGACGGGGGTGCGTCCGAATAGCTCCCCTAGGGGGGTGCATCCCCGAGTTCCCCTCCTTTTCTTTCTGAACGGCTCGTTTTTTCGAGGGGAAGCCCTGGGACGTCACAAAGCGACTCGGGGGGGGGAAAGGTTTCGAGTGCACCGCCCAAGGGGCAACTCTGTAAATGATGGTGTGGATACCTTGAGGCCCTCTCCCACCGAGGCAGGCCACGAGCCGCTCGGGGGACGAGGGCGCCGGTCACGCGGCATCCCGAGTGCTGCTGCAGAGCCCTTCGGCCGGTGCGTAAACTCATGGATTTAACCGTGATGAGACCCATTTTTGTTCGGCCACAACTTTCAACAGTAAGCGTCCAGATGCTTACCAAGAGGTGTGAAGGCGACCCGTTTTGCCTCAGACAACTCTCGTGCCGCTGGCGATGCGACGCGATACGATGCAACGACCAACAGGTCCGGGGGAAAGGTTCAGACCTCTCAGGGTCCACGATGCGGAACAAAAACACGACGTCGGTGGTCTAGGCGGCGCGCGCGCTGCTTCAACGCAGAGGGCATCCAGTGCACCACTGCAGTGGCTGGCACGAGCCATCGTGGGCCCTGGCGAGGTGTACACGCCCTCCTTGCCACGACCAGCAGGGACTGTACACCAACCCGGGGTCCAGTGGTCTTACGCGAAGATGACACTCGGAAGCTGGGCGAGGGCTGGCAAATCCGTGGCTGCTAAAATGATCTTCCATGAAGCAACAAAACGAATCCCTGAATAAAACTCGGCGCACCAAACAGTAAACGGGCTGCTTTCCGATAGAACCAAAAAAATATGTCCCGGAGCTCCGTATTAGCAGCCACGGGTGTGCCAGCCCTCGCCTGGCTTCTGAGACACAGTGACCTTACGCAGTGGCTTGCGAGGGTCGCCAGCGCAGCATGCTGCATTGGAGACGAGGGGGCGCTTACGCGACCTGCGTGGCCTGCGACCTTTTGCACACATGTGGGACACGTGCGACCTGACGCGGGCAGCTTGCTCACGGATGCCGGCGCAGACGACCCCCTTTTTTTTTGGTTGCCGCGCTCCAGTGGCCTGGCCAGGCCCGGCGGTGGGCATAGACGCCCACTGCGGGCGGGGGAGCCAGGGGGCACGCCATTGGGGAGGCGGGCGCGCCGGGGAGAGAACAGAGGGCAGAAAACCCACCCCGAGAAGAACACTCCCCGACACGCGAGGCCTTCAGCAAACGCGCCCGAAGAAGAAATCGAACAAGGCAGGGCTGTTTAGCAAACGCCCAGGGCCGTCTAGTAAAGGCTAATCGTCCAGTCCGGGTGATTTTTCCTTCCCTTGAGAGGAGGGGGAGGGACAGCGGGAGAGGGAGGTCTAGCGTCTAGCGCCCAGCAATCCGCGCAAACCTCCGACAGTTCGCGCGCATGCAAATGTTCTGGTAGTCGAGTGTCTCGGAAAGCACGCACAGACCACCACTGTGCCTGACAAGGGCCCTCCTGGGCCCTGGCACAGTATCTGTGTACGCCCTCCTGGCCAAGGCATGAAGGTTTATGCTTTATTCTCGGGCCCAGGATTGCCCTGGCCAAGTATGGCGGTGGTGGTGGTGTACACGTACGTGCCTTCTGCGGAGAGCGGGTGTATGATGACGGTAATGGTGATGACGATGATGATGATGCTGATGATGCTGATGATGATGATGATGATGATGATGATGATGTGACTGATGATGATGATGATGAGGAGGAGGATCCCGATGTTGGTAATGATGAAATGATGATGATTATGATCATGATGATGACGCTGATGCTGATGACGACTATGGTGATGGTGATGGCGATGATGATGGTGATAGTGATGTTGCCGCCGCTGCTGCTGGTGTTGCTGCCACCGCTGCTGCTGCTGATGATGATGATGATGCTGCTGATGATGATGATGTGGATGATGGTGCCGATGATGATGGTGATGATGATGCTGATGATGAATAGGCGGCGGAGGATCAGGGATCGATGATTACGGGCCATTGACGGGCCCTGCGGGGATCTCTGCCCCGTGATCATACACCTTCTGGGAAAACAAAAACAATACCGATACCGCTACTCCCAAGACCTCTCCTGGGATGCGCTCTGATCATGTCTTCGAGGCGCATCCAGCCGTGGTTCGCCAGGCGCCATGTGTGTTTGTTTCCCAGACGTTTGCGAGCAGCACTTTGCGAGGAGAGGAACGCGCTCGAGGAGTGTTGACGAGAGAGGGGCAGCGGCATCGCTGGCTCCGCCTCCCCTGCGCATCTCGGGGGCGCGCAAACATGGATTGGCGAACCATGGATTTGGCGCGCGGTCGCCAAATCCACGGATCGGGGGAGGTGCCCTGCCCAAAATACGGCCGGTGCCGCCTCGCTCGGCGGAAAAAATCTGCGATTCCCCACGGAAACGGGACCCGTCGCTATTCCACGCCCCCTTGATCCATGTTTGCGGTCGCCTGACACTTTGCGAGGAGGGGAACGCGCTTGAGCGAGGAGTGGTGACGCGAGAGGGGCAGTGGCATCGGTGGCTCCGCCTCCCCTGCTGCTGCTGCTGCGAAGGAGGGGGACGAGGAGGAAGAGGAGGAGGACGAGGAGGAGGAGAAGGATGAGGAAGAGAAGGACGAGGACGAGCGAGGGGCAGCGGCATCGGTGGCTCCGCCTCCTCTGCTCCTCCTGCTGCTCCTGCTGCGGCTGGCCCTCCTCGCCCTCTTTCCGCTCCGCCGTTCGTCCCCCGCGGCTGCTGGGTGGGAGGGCCCTCGGAGGCCCCGCTGCAGCCTCGCCTGCGGGCACGGCCTCCGCAGGACGCTCCCAGAGAACGGTGCAAGCAACCGCCCCTCTCATGGGGGCCCCAAGAATGTACACCGGCACCACGTCGCTTCCGCCTGCCTCCTCTGAGGGAGGTGGTGGTGGAGTGTGTTTTTGGGGCCCCAAAGATTTCAGCGGCGACGCAAGGGCCTTTTCTGAAGGGGCCCTAGGACACACAGAGAACTACACACACAAATCCCAGGACCCCCCATATTCTCCCACATCTTCTGGGCTTCCGTCTTCCACCCCACTTCCCATACGCTCCCACATTTCCTTTGCAATCGCCGATGAATTGTGTCTGTGTGTCTTTGTCCCCTCCTGATGTCTACGCTTGTGGATGCTATGACAATGGGCACTCCAACAATCCTAGCATGGAGCTAAGGATGTGTTGAAAAGGTGTAAAACATATTCAAGGAATGGCTCAAGCATGTGTTCAGCATGTTTAGAAACATGTCCGAACCAGTTGTTAGGACATCTGGGAATGCTTTGGCAACATGCCTCCTCTCCATTGATCGTCCTCCACGAGCTTACTTTTTTTTTACGGCCGCAAGCGGAGGCGCCGGCGGCGAGCAGTCACGGTCGGGCTGCGGCCGCGACTAAATTCCCGGGCGCGCGCGGGGGCCGCGGATCAGGCGGCGAGGGGGGGCGGCAACCCAGGGCGTCTGGGAGGCCAGGCGGACGTGCAAGCCCAGGGAGTCTGAGGGGTCAGTCACCCGAGGCGGTCGTGCAAGCTGCAACCCAGGGAGTCTGAGGGGTCAGTCACCCAGGAGCAAGCCAGGCGCGGCCAAAATGGCGCGCAGTGCGTTCCCAGTCGTGATCGTGTCGGTCCACGAGCTTACGCGAGACGACCCGGCGGCCTCGCGCCGCGGCCCACGGAGGCCGCAGGCGCGGCACGCCGCGCGGCGAGGCGGCCTGCGCCGTTGGCCCCCCGGCGCTCGGACGGCGCTCGCGCGAGCCGCACGCCGGGCACGGCTTCCCCGAAAGGGCCGCAGGCGACCCGAGGAGGAGGGAGGAGGGAGGAGGAGGGAGGAGGGAGGAGGAGGAGGAGGAGGGAGGGGGAGGAGGAGGAGGGAGGAGGGAGGGAGGAGGGAGCAGGAGGAGGGGAGGAGGAGGGGGGAGGAGAGAAGAAGGATGATGATGAGGAGGAGAGGGGGGAGGAGGGGGAGGAGGAGGGAGGAGGAGGAGGAGGAGGAGGAGGAGGAGGAGGAGGAGGAGGAGGAGGAGGAGGAGGAGGAGGAGGAGGAGGAGGGAGGAGGGGGAGGAGGAGGCGGAGGAGGGAGCAGGAGGAGGGAGGAGGAGGAGGAGGGGGGAGGAGGAGAAGAAGGATGATGAGGAGGAGGAGGAGGGAGGAGGGGGAGGAGGAGGAGGGAGGAGGAGGAAGGAGGAGGAGGAGGGAGGAGGAGGAGGAGGAGAAGGAGAGAGAAGGAGGAGGACGAGTCGCCCAAGCCCTTCGGAGGAACCCTCCAACCCCAGGTGGTCGAATGCCGAGCACCAGAAAAGCTGGGGCTCAGGAGTGGAGGCACGTCTGCCCAAATACCCTACAGGAATGATTGAACCCGTGGAAGTAGGGTCTAGCGGCCGCAGGAAGCAACCTCGAGCCTCCCCCCGAGTCGTCCCAGAGCGGAGGGGAAACTTCTGCACGAATGCGCGGCTCGCTCGGAGAGAATGCGCAACGCGATGGCCTGCTGCAAAGGAAATTGGGATTGATGGCGTGGCGTCGTGCGCGGGCGAAGGAAACAACAGTAACGTGTACAGACACAGGCGGAAGCCAATGTCCCTAAACGAAACGCTGGCGAAGGTCTGAGAGACGATGCGATAGCACTGTGTATGCAAACCAGAAGAGCACGCCTGTAGCCTGGTCCCACTGCGAATGCTGAAACAGCAGAGCTGAGAGAGGGGGGGGGGCATTGCAGCATCTGAAGGACAAGCCAATTTCGACAAGGAAACAAAACATGACCTGCTGAAGACGCATCGGAGCCTGGATGACTGGATAATGTGTTGGATTAGAATTTCGAAAGTCAAGAGCATCACATGTCGGCACCTTCCTGAGGTACTGCAGCGCCGTGTGCAGCTTGCTCATGCTGAGGGGAATGACGTATATTATGACACACATAATGCCCAGCTGGACACAAGTGCAGCAAAAAGGTTGCATCTCCGTGAAGCTCAACGTGCACTGCATGCGAAGTGTCATGCCGACCCCTGGCTTGACGACAAGGTGCGCACCAGGGCACGATGCTTGCCTCCTCGGCCCCCTTTTCGTCAGATGCATCTCAAGGAGTTCGGGGAGCTCAGCTTCCTAGCTGACGGCCGCTAGGAGCAGGCAAGACGAGAAAAGAGCCCAGCAGTTTCCAAATTGGAGCCGCGCAGGCCAGCTGGCATCGCGCTTGGCACTGCGAGCAAACCACAATCATTGCGCCCCTGAGCGGGAGGGCTGGAGAGGAAGGCGAGGGGAGAAGGGAGGGACGGGGATGGGATGAAACGATAGGGGGAGGAGTGGGAGTCGGAAAGGGAGGACGGGGGAGGTAAGCTGAGCAGAGACCGACCGTCCCAGCATTCCTAACATGCCTACCACGAAATGTTCTTAGAGCCCAGAAATGTTCTATGAACAAAATAGTGCTCTAAGAGCCAAATGCCGACGTGCTAAAACACAACAGTCCCAGCCAGATATGATGTAAGAACATTCGTGCAAACCGCAAGAAGGTTCGTAGGACATGTTTTGGTGGACCAATGTAGATAAACCAGGACACTTCGCCACTGCTTTGAGTAAGGGGCTGGTGGACCACGGGAGAGGGGAGGGCAGGGGGAGGGACGGGGAGGGCAGGGGGGCGAGAGGGGAGGAGAGGCGCGAGGCGCGCTCTCTTCGCGATCCCGACGCGAGCCGGCACCGACACCTCCTGCGCCTCCCTGCCCGAGGAGACCACAGACCCTTCTGCTCTTAGGTCGGGCATGTCCTCCTACCGGCCTTAGCGCCACGCACATTGGTTTTCAACCATTGCAAGTGTTTCATGGTTTGAAGGCGGGTCGTTTTCAAAATGTGGCCCTCGCCTCAGCGCCGCGCACATTCGATTTGCAATTTGCAAGTGGGGGATGGGTCGTTTTCAAAAGTGGCTCCCTCATTAGCGCCGCACACATTGTTTCTAAAAACTTGCAAGAGTTCCACGGATTGAGGGCGGGTGGTTTTCAAAATGTGGCTCTCGCCTTAGCGCCGCACACATACGATTTCAATATCTGGTAGAAGTCCACAGATTGAGGGCGGTTTATTTTCAAAATGTGGTTCTTGCTTTAGCGCCGCGCACATTCGCTCTAAACATTTGCAAGAGCTTCACGGATTGAGGCCATCTCCTTTTTAACATGTTGTTCTCGCCTTAGCGCCGCGCACATTCGCATTGAACATGTGCAAGGGCTTCTCACACTCCCATGGATAGCGTTCCAGAAATTGTGTTTTGGAAAGATTCAGGATTAAGTATGCAGGCGCAACAGTTATGTTGATTCGCGGTGTTCAAGTCCCAAAAATGGGTCTCTAGCACGATTCCGAATCGTCAAGACGCAGCAGTCAGGTTGATCCGTGGCGTTGAAATACGGAAAACAATGCTTTGGCATGCTTCAGGGTCAACAAACGGCTGCCCCTCAATGGAAATGAACCGCTGTAGGGGCAGATGTTACCAGCCTGGAACATATCCCTATCCCTATGTTGGGCATCGCCTCATCACGATGGCGATCTTAGGGATTTCCTCAGTTTCTGAGGGTGAATCCCTAAGATTGTCATCTCCTTTTAGGGATAGGGATACGTTCGAGGCTGGTGAATATGAAGAGGGAGCTTGGAGGAAGGGTTAATTCCAACATCGTTGATGACTCTTGGGTTTACACTGGTCCTCCTCCTCCCCCTCGCCGCCGATGGGGATCGAGGGGGGCGAGAAGGGCAGGAGACACCAGAAGGGAGATTGGAGCACGGGCTTGCGCGGCTGGCTTCCCTGGGGCCTTCCCTGGCGCGGAGAGGCGCCCGTGCACATCGAGGAAGGGGCCCCGGCGACTGAGCACTTCCCTTCAGCGGGGCAGATTGGAGCACCGGCGAAGTCGGCGCGGGGAAACACGGGCTCCACATCGAGCCGCATCGTCGATGCATGGGCGATGCGGCACGATCCTCCGCCCCCATCTACTCGTACCCCATCTAGGAGGCGCAGATTTAGGCCGGGCATGTCCCCCTACAGGCGGATGTTGGGAGAAGAATGAGACATACATTGAATCAAACTTGCATCATAATTGCAAAACGAATGCTCACTTTGTTCGTCCCTCGACTATTGTTGGACTACTCCTCCTGTCGAGGGATGCGCCCGACCTCAGCCTGGACCAAGGGGGGAGGGGAACGCATGCCGTCGCTCGGACGCGGTGCCCGTGCGCCTGCCTCCACGACCCTCTCCGCGAGGCGGGGTGCAGTTGTGCCATCCCCTGGCATGCTTCGGTCGGGCATGTCCCCCTACAGGCGGGTATTGGACGACACATTAGAAGGTACCCCAAACATGTTTCAACAAAGTCAAACATTCAAAAAACATCGTCGCCAGACGATCTTTTACTATTCTTGCATACTCCCCCGTGTAGAGGGACAGGGCTCGAACTAATGGCAAATCCACGGAGCGGCTTGCTGCATGGGTCCGAGAGTGGCGAGGGGGTCCGTGCAGAGACGCACAGGAAGCACGAACCCCACAGATCGGAGCGACGCCCAGAGAAGGAAGGAGCGCTCTCCCCCTGGACTGTGAAGCGGGCGGTGCAGCCGTGGTCGCGGACGAGCGAGACGTCTACCAAACTTGCCGACCCATGCGACTCTGAAGATTCGCGCCCGTGGCGTGGCGACTGCTGCGGGGAAACCAGACGGCACCGATGCTGCTACTGCCCCGACCTCTCGTGGGGCGCGCTCTGACCAGGATTTCGAGGCGAATCCAGCGGTGGCAACGACGGCCGCCCAGGAGGCCGAAAAAGGGGACAGAAACGAGCGACAGGCAGCGGTATCGGTGCCGAGTCCTCCTCTGACGCGCGGCGTGGCAACCGCTGCGCGTCACGCCGCGAAGCGCCTAGCCTTGCCCACGTCACGGCGTCACGCCCTTCCGGCCCCAGGGTCGACGCCGCGGAAGAAACGACAGCGTCGCGTGGATCCAAGACTGGAGCGGTCGATCGAACCTCTCCCGCGGAGAAATCCCGAGCAAGATATATCCGAGGGGGTCCCGCGGGACGGCGCTCGGACGAAAGCGCCCAGTACAGTGGAGGCCAGTCCACAAGAAACCTTCGACAAGAAACCCAAACCTGAGATCCCAGGACGTCCATTGATTTTTGGTTTTGGGACGTCACGCGTTCGGCCGCAAACACATCGAAGTCCAAGAAACCATGGGCGCCCTGGAGACAAGCAAGGTGTTTCTTGGCATGGACCTCCATTGTATGAGACAGACATGTATCGAACGGTTCTCTTACGCAAGACGAGGCCAAGACGAGGATCATAATCGGGTGAAGATAGATCGAAAGACTCTCTGAGGACCGGCGGCTCCGGAGGATGTACCCGGCGCCGCGGCCTGCTCAGAGCGGTCCAGAACGCTATGAAAGAGAGGGCGTCCAAGAACGCCCTCGAGAGGATTCGTCCACATCCTGGCCCCGTCCGAGAACGACCCCCCGACCACGACCGAACTTGTCCGTGGCGCATCCCAGACCCCAGACTGGTGCGCAACGCCCTCTCGAGCAAGGCCGAGCGAACGCATCCCGCAGCGCTCACGGCCACAGCCCGCTGGCCTCAGCCCAGGATCTGACTACCTACCAAACCACCCCAACCCAACCCGAAGACCCGAATTTCGGGTTGGGGGGGGGGTACGGGCTTCATGTGTGTTTTCTCGACGTTCCCAGACCCCCCCCAACTGGAAATGGAGGGCAAATTGGGGCCTTCGGGTTGGGTTGGGGTGGTTTGGTGGGTGGTGACAGACGTCGCCAGCGTCGCCGCGGGAGGTCGAGGGCCACGAGCTGGCCCGTCCTCCTCGAGCCAGCTGCGAAGCCCTCGGGAGGTCGAGGGCCACGAGCTGGCCAAGTCCTCCTCGAGCCAGCTGCGAGGCCCTCGCCGCCGGGGCTCCGCCCAGCGCCGTCGTCCTCAACGGTCGCCCTCGTCCCCGAGCCGCTGACGTCGAGGTTCCCCGGCCCTCGCCCCGGAGATCCTGACGCCACAGGAAGCGTGGCGAGAGTGGTATCCATATCCACTGCGTCTTGGAGTCATGTCTGCTCTTATCCTGAGAAATCGTAGGAGCTCGACCACAAGAAGCCTTCAACAAGAAACCCAGCACTGAGACCCCAGGACGTCCATTGAATTTTGGTGTGGGAACGGCACGCTTGCCATGGCAAAACCATCGAAACCCAAGAATCCGAGGGCGCCCTGCAGGCAAGCAGGGTGTTTCTTGGCATGGGTTCTACTGTACCA